GAGCCCCGACGCTCCTTCTTGGGGGGCGTCTTCTTCTTCTGGGGGGAAAAAATAGGCGGGCGTGGATGAGGACAGACCCCCAATTAGCGGCTTTTCGCCCCAAAACGCCGCTCCTCACCGCCATGAAGAGCGCGGACGACGTCTCGCTGTCGATGTCGCTCTCCTCCGAGGTCTGCGACTCGTCGCTGCTGTCTGTGGGCCCCCAGGCTCAGCCCCGTTTCCACCGTTTTTCTACCCAAAACCGCCTCGTTCCGCACCCCCCATCCCAACCCTGGCACCTTTCTTCTTCTTCTTCTCCTGCGGCGTCGGGGCCTTCTTCTCCTCCTCCTCCTCCTCCTTCTCCTCCGCGGGTTTCTCCTCCTCGCTCTCCTCGCTGCTCTCACTCGCCTCGTCGATGCCTTGGGACCGGGGGTGACATCAGGGGACATCCCAGGGCCAGGGGGGTCCCCAACAACCTCCCCAGGAGCCACCGACCTTTGGGCCCGTCCTCCTCCTTGGTCACCTTGGCCTTCCCCACGTCCTCCTCCAGCGAGCTGCTACGGGGCGAGGGGGGGACACAGGGTGTCACAGGGTGTCACAACCCCCCGTCCCGCAGTGTCCCCAACTCCAGGCCACCCACCTGGAGGCGTCGGACATGTAATCGACCTCCTGGCCCTCGAAGTCGCCGTCGTCGCTGTCCTCGAAGGCCTCGTCGTCCGATCCCTTCTTCTTCTTCTTCTTCTTCCCCGGCGGTGGCTTCTTCTTGGCCTTGGGCGCCTTCTCCCCTGGAGGGGACGGGAAAACTCAGCCCCGTTCCCATCCCCATCCCGCCCTTTTCCCAATCCCGGCCTCACCTTCGGCCTCGCTGGCCTCGCTGTCGTCGGAGCTGAGCTCCAGGTCGTCCTCCAGGTCGTGGATCTTGAGCTCCCCTCCCTTCTTCTTGGGCTTCTTCTCCTTGTCCTCGTCCTCCTCGTCCTGGTCGCGCAGGCGCCGCTGCTGCATGATGCTGAAGTGGTTCAGCACCTTGTTGCGCCTGGGGACACGGCGGGGAGAGGGTGACGCTGCTCGGGGACGTTCCCCTTCCCACCCGGCAGAAGGTCCCTCCCGAGCTCCAGGAGGTCCCACATGTGCGTCCGGGATGGCCCCACCAGCTCCAGGATGTCCCCACCAGCTCCAGGATGTCCCCTTCGCTCCAGGACACGTCCCCACCAGCTCCGGGACACATTTCCCACCTCCAGGACGTCCCCTCGGCTCTGGGATGTGTTTCCCAGCTCCATGACGTCCCCTCAGCTCCAGGACATGGCCCCATCAGCACCGGGACACGTCTCCCAACCCCAAGGACGTCCCCTGGGCTCCAGGATGTCCCCACCAGCTCCAGGACTGGTCCTCCAGCTCCAGGACACATCTCTGAACCCCAAGGACGTCCCCTGGGCTCCAGGATGTCCCCACCAGCTCCAGGACTGGTCCTCCAGCTCCAGGACACATCTCTGAACCCCAAGGACGTCCCCTGGGCTCCAGGATGTCCCCACCAGCTCCAGGACTGGTCCTCCAGCTCCAGGACACATCTCTGAACCCCAAGGACGTCCCCTCAGCTCTAGGATGTCCCCTCAGCTCCAGGACATTTCTCCCAATCCCAAGGATGTCCTCTCAGCTCCAGGATGTCCCCAACAGCTCCAGGACTGGTCCTGCAACCCCAGGAGGTCCCCTCGGCTCCGGGATACATCTCCCAACCCCAAAGATGTCCCCTCAGCTCCAGGACTGGTCCTCCAGCTCCTGGACATGTCTCTCAACCCCAAGGACGTCCCCTCAGCTCCAGGACGTCCCCTCAGCTCTAGGACATGTCTCCCAACCCCAAGGATGTCCCCTCAGCTCCAGGATGACCCCACCAGC